GGCCGCCGGCTCGTACCTCCCCTACACTTCCGGCAGCCGAGGCACCTGGGGAAGTCGTTTGGGTATTCGATGTATTCGTCTTCTTTACACGGCAAACACTCGCTGGAGCCGTTTGGCTCTTTGCTGTGCTCTGCAACGTAAGTGCCTGCGAGAAGGAGGAGTTGGAGAAGAGAAAAGAAGGGTGACCACAGAGCGCAGGATGGAGGTATCTTTGCAGAAAGGGAGCTGGTTCCCCTGCCAGTTAAGTTAAGAGGCAAATTAGGAACCATCAAAAGGAAAATATTCCCATAACGAGTCCTTAGATCTCATGACAGCAAAGCAGGGGAGAGCTGGAGCTGCCACTGCCTGCTCAGGAGCAAGGACACGGCGGCTCTGCAGGCAGAAACGCGGCGAGGCTGCACATGGGGCGACCAATGTTTGAGACCTTCTTACCCGCGGGGCACTTCTTGCCACTGCGACTGGTGTCTGGGACTTGAAGATCTTCCCCTCCCCTGTTTGGGTCCAAGGAATCCAGCTTGTCCCTTCTGTCCAGTGATGCTCCCAAAACAACCTCCTGTTAAAAAAAATACAGAAAAAAATGGGTTAAAACCCACTAAGTCCACAGGGCACGGGCAAAGAGAGAAGGGCAAGAGCTGCTCTGCCCCGTGTGCTCAGGCAGAGTGGGAGAGCAGCTCTGGGATGGCTCAGAGCCGCCGGACCTGGCAGCCAAACCTCCCCTCGGTGCTGGTGAGGGGCACTTTCCCTGTACCAGCGTGGATTTTGCCTTGGCAAAGCACAAGGAGGAGGTTTGCAGAGGGATTGCCGTGTGCCAGGTTATCAGCCAGGCAAAGGCTCCCTAATGCTTCCTTGGGATAACCTCAGGCCCCCTTTTCCTTCCCCAATTTCTGAGCGCGTGAACCAACAGCATCGAAGAAAATGGAAGGGTAGGGAGGAGGAACAGAGCGGGCGAGTTTGTGGGAGGAAACCAGCCCCGTGTCAAGGCTGGTACATGGCTCCTGTGCCCACCAAGACACCAGGGCTGCTTCAGGCTCCCAGGGGACAGCACGGCCTCCGGCATTTCCGCATTATCCCTGCTATTTTGCTGCCAGTCAGGAAGCCAACGGCCCCGTTTCCGCCAGCTCACGGTGCACCTTTCTGCTGGCTCAGCTCTTTCTGTCCCCGGTGGGTCGCCCCAGCTGTGGGGGACAACGCTCAACAGGAACAGTCGCTCACCCCATTGGGGTCTGGGGGGCCTTTGGGCACCCCAAGTCCCTGATACAGCACCTTTGGCATCTCAGCCAGCACCGGGCACAGCCGCTCCATGGATATAAATGGATATAAACCCGCGCGGCAGTGAGTCTGGCAGAGGCACTTTCCCCTTTCCCTCCCATAACCCTGGCGTGAAACCTTAAAGCAAATATTTCTTCTGTGAGTCAGAAGCTGCCTTGAAAGGCTGAAACAATAGAGACGCAAGCTGTCCCGAGGTCCCCTGGGCCAGCCTGGCCATCTACAGCGCCGATGCCCCCCTCCTCCTCCCCGGACACTTCCCGCGCTCGTGCGAGGAAGGGTGTGAGTGCCGAATCCGGCGGCAGCAGGTCCGACGGTCACGGGGCTGCAGAGGGTGACGCAGATCCACAAACAACACCGCGGAGACCAGCCAGGCCACGGAGAGGGTGATCCCCCCCCCGCCATGCCCTAGCACGCAGCTTTGCCTCGCTGGACACACGGACACGGAGCGGGACAGACCCCCTGAGCCCCAGCCAGCGACCGTCTCCAGGCCCTGACGTGGAAGGATCACAGCCACATCACTCCAGTGGTTTCTGGCTCCGCATCTCCCGCTGCCGCTCTCTCCAGCCGGGAGGGTTTGCACATTTATAAAGTACTTTTCTACCCCGCTTCGGAGAGAAGTCTTGCTGTTACCTCCCAGCCACAAGCAGCTCTTAGGGCTTTACCCGCTCTGGTCTTGAAAGTCTTCAGGGACTGAGACTGGGCAACCCATCCCACCGTGTCCCTGTCCCCTGGGGGGGACAAAAAAAGCCTTGCTTCCCCCTTCTGCCTCTGCCTGGCCGCAAAGGTGATCGCAGCAACCACACAGCTTTCTCCGCCGTTTGGAAAGGCCCCTTAGGCGCAGGATTTCACTGCTTTTCATGAACTGAGACTGGGCAACCCATCCCACCGTGTCCCTGTCCCCTGGGGGGGACAAAAAAAGCCTTGCTTCCCCCTTCTGCCTCTGCCTGGCCGCAAAGGTGATCGCAGCAACCACACAGCTTTCTCCGCCGTTTGGAAAGGCCCCTTAGGCGCAGGATTTTACTGCTTTTCTTGAAACAGCCACTCGGCAGAGCTGGCACAGGGGCACGATAAGGTTATCGGCCCCCACCACCTTCCCCAGCAAGTGCGGTTCAAGCAGATCAGCCCAGCACAGAGCCCTCGGCAGGCGAGGGCTCCCATCCCCGACTAACCCATCAGTCTTGCAAAGCACAGGGAGAAACCAGGCTGCGAGCCACGGGCGAGACGCAGTGGTGTTCAAGAGCAGTTTTCACCCACAGCCAACAGCCCAAGAAAGCACCGTTGCCTCAAGGCTGAGGAATTACCAGGCACAGGAATCACCAGAACCCTCATCAGCTAAAAGCCTCTTCCTGCCGGAAGATCAGGTCTGGGAAAAAAGCTCCGGGAAGCATTGAGCTTCAAACTTTCCCCTCTCCCATCCCCAGTTGGTTCTTCCCCTGAATTGATCCCAAGGCAGGAGCCGGACCCGACAGCAGAAGTTCCAGAAAGATGAGGAGCTACTGGAGAGAGTCCAGCGGAGGCCTACGAGGATGAGGA